CTCTGGATGAAGGCGCGCGTCCTTACTAGGCGCGTTGACTGTACAAGGTTTCTCCGATCTGCTACCGAAGCCTTGGCCCAAGAGGCGTGCCACCAGCGCGCCCGTATCGCTCTGGGTGGGCCGCGTGCGGAGGTGGCCGCGGGGCCTTGCGCTCCAGCCTGCGGCCGAGGACGTGGGTGAGCTTGCGCCTGCGGGACCGCCGCCGCGTTCTTTTCCCCCAGCCATCCTGTGGTGTGGCGTCCTCGTTTTGAACAGACAGCGCCCCTCGTTCTCCTTCCTCATCCTCCCGCTGCCCCCATCCCCCATCCCTCATCTCACCCCTGCCCCTGCACATCATCATCATCATCATCATCATCATCATCATCACCATCATCATTATCACCATCGTCATCGTCAGCATCATCATCAGCAGCATCATCAGCATCATCAGCATCATCATCATCATCCTCATCAGCTTCATCATCATCAGCAGCAGCATCAGCATCATCATCATCAAAATTGCCATCATCATCACCAGCACCATTCACCATCATCAACATCACCATCATCATCAACAACATCATTCGGCATCAACAGTAACATTAGCATCATCCTCATCCAAACTCACCATCCGAACCCTCAAGCTCATCCTCATTCTCATGAACATCACCATCATCATCAGCAGCATCAACATCATCAAACTCCTCATCCTCATTCTCATGCTCATGCTCATCCTCCTTCGCCTCCCCCTCATAATTATCATCATCATCATCATCCTCCTCCTCCTCCTCCTCCTCCTCCTCATCATCATCATCATCATCAACATCATCATCATCATCATCATCATCATCATCATCATCATCATCATCATCATCATCATCATCATCATCATCATCCCTTTGCCACCGCCCACATGCGTCCGCCACACCAACGTCGGCACACCCGTCACACATTTCGTCGCCCCATGAGGAGCTCCACCGAAGGTCCCAATGCTACCGCCCACATGCGCCGCCCCCCCATATAGCGCTTCGTGACCCCATAGGGAGCCCCACCGAGGGTCCCAGCGTTACCGTCCGTATGCGTCCCCCCCACCCAGTACAAAGAGTCGTGGCCCCATAGGGAGCTCCACCGAAGGCCCCAGTGTTACCGCCTGCATGCGTCCCCCTACACCTAGTACAGCGCTTCATGGCCCCATAGGGAGCTCCACCGAAAGGCCCCTGTGGCACCGTCCGCATACGACCCCCCCCCCACCCAGTACAGCGCGTCGTGGCCACATTCCTCCTTCCTGCTTCATCCCTCTTCGTCCTCGTCCGTTTATTCATCATGCCCTTCTACGCGTCGGTTCCTTTTTCCTCCTCCTCCTCCTCCTCCTCCTCCTCTTCTACCAACCGCCGCTGTCCGTCTCCCCCATATCCTTCTCCTGGTTCGTGAATGACCTTCCAAAGGACTGTGCCGCTTGAGCAGATGCTGTGTATGCTCTGCTAGATGAGCCCCGTGCGGAAACGCTCCCCCATTAGAATAACATTCCTTCGCATGCGTTTCGCCACGGAATCCCCCATCCAGTTTTCGGGATCCCCCCACGTGAGGATGCAGGCTGGGAAACGCTGGAGTCTTTGCGCGACAGCTAGGCGAAAACAACTCTGATACCTACGGCGACCCAGAACAGTGTCCTGCAAACGTTCCTGACTGTGTGTGTGGGTGTGTGCGAAGGCTCGCCGATGTTCGCTGTGCAAGCGTCGTGAGCCGTGGCCGTACCCCGACGACAAGGCGAGCGCTACCGCAGCTGGCCTGTCGAACGCCATGGGATCAACGAGGTCAATCGTGTCGCTGATGAGGGGCTGCTTCACCTGCCCTGCCCATTGACACCAGCGCCTGTGCCAGTCTATGGTGATGCGTCCTTTCCCTCAAAACTCCGCTCTCGAAGGAGCGCAGGGCGACGGACGGGGTGGGAAGAGGGGGCGACAGAGGAGGAGGAGGAGGAGGAGGAGGAGGAGGACGAGGAGGAGGGCTCAGACCCCCGACGTCGTGATTTTTTCGCAATGTCGACCCCAAAGGTCTCGACCCCTTCCCCGGCACCGCTTCTTCGTCCTGAGTCGTTGGTGTTGATGGCCCCGAGGCCCGAGGAGGGCCCCCGGAGGCCGAAGATGGCCAAAGACATCCCGTCGTGATTTCTTCACAACGCGAGGAGGTCTGGGGAGCGAGACGACGACGACGACACGGGCGCGAAGGAAGAGGGGCACCAGCATGCGGAGAACGGCACGGAGAGGAGTCGGATCAAACGAGGGGGGGGCCGGCGCCCGAGCTCCCGGCGACGGAGGAGCCCGCAGGCCCGCCCCGGGCGGCGACAATGCCGGTCATGACGCCGAGCTGGTTCCGCCGAGTGGGAACGTGCGACGGCTCCGAGAGCGCAAGCAACACATGGCGGATTTCGGAAGCACCGGACCCCAAACCCTTTTCAAGGGGGCACCTCCCTTGCTTCCGCCACCTCCCGCCGCCCTCCCGCCGCCCTCCGCGGCGGAGGAGACGACCACTCCCTCGATCCTCGAAGGCAAGGCCCCTGTTGGAACGCTCGACGTGCGCCGAGTGCGGCGTCGCAAGCGGGGGCGAGGACAGCTGCGCGGCGTGGCAGCCCGCGGCGCCGGCGCCGCAGCAGCTGGGCGCGAGAGGCAGCGCGCCTGCTGGAAGCACGCGCAGGCCGCACTCGCTCGGCAGGAGCAGCGGCAGCACGCAGGAGGAGGAGGAGGAGGAGGAGGAGGAGGAGGAGATTGCGATTGCGATTGCGCTGAATGCGGCGATTGCAATTGCAAGCCTGGGCGCATGGGGAAATTCACCCTCTCACGGGGAAGCTCATACCTGACTTCGGAGGGAGCCCACGGGACAAACGGGAGAGAGCCTCCCGCCCTTTCGCAGTGGGGGCGTCACACTGGCCAGATAACTTTCGCGTTTGATCAACTCCAAACGCGCCACACACAAGGCAGTACAGCACACCCTGACAAGTGGCGAGGGTGTGGGAGACATGCGCAGACTCAAAGAGGGGATGGTCGGAGGGAGGGCGCCGCGCCTGGATGTCCGCCACCTCCATGGGGGGCGCCTCCGCACGGCGGTCCTGCTCACCCTGAAGAGTCCACTCCCCCGCGACCTGCCCAAACTCGGACAATGGGATGCAGGTACGAGGCCAAAACTGCGACAGGGCTCCCCTGCGGGAGAAGGAGCGGCAACACCTCGTACACTTGAACAACGTGCGCCGAAGAGAGGTATCATGGCCAGCAGCGATCAACCTCAACCGCCGCGCCTCCAGACTAGTGATGCCAGCGCGCCCCCGAATAGCAACGAGGCCAACGCGACTGTCAGTGCCACGCTCACGCTCGCATGCCAGGAAAACTGCACGCTGGGTCGCCACTAGACGGCGCAGGATCTTTTCCTGCAGCTCATCAGCAGCTCGGACAGAGGCGACCTCTTCTGGTCCTAACTTGCCCCTCAGGGCACCTTCATTGGCACAGACGTCGGAAGCACTATTCAAAAGCAACTCGACACGGGAAATCTGCATGTCCTCAATGTGTGCCTGGGTCGGGTGAGATTTAGTCCAGCGGAGATCAACCTTGCCCGAACGCGCCCCAAGCCTTTCCCAAATACGTCCCCAAATAGCAAGCATACAACTCTTACTCCTCTTCACGTGTTCTGGAGGCTTCCGAAAACTCCGAACAACAGGGAGGTAGTCTGAAAACGCCAGAATATTCCCTTCAGCAATCGTCAGCAAGACGAGCAACGCATAGAGCTCTGACCGAGGAGAGCTCTGACAGGTAGTAGGTAAAGTCAAAAAGACTCCACCCGCAATATCAGATCCATTAGGATGTAGCATAACGGCGCTCCACCCACACCTCCTTAGCCTCCAGTCCTTAGTTTCGGAGCCCCCCGACCCGTCGATCCCCCACGCCCCACCAACCACAGGGCGGGCGGGCGCCTTGGAGAGCTCCAAAGGCCCACTGAGCAGTTTGGGGCATCGGAAGACCTTTCACAACCTGATCGAGCGACATCAGATTGCGGCACCAGAAGGAAGGGAGGGAGGTACTTTCCGCGATAGCAATCGGGGACAAGCTATCTGTGGCCGAGACATCAGGATGATCCAGCTCACAGTTCGCCGTGCACTGCCAGAATCGGTGAGTCGGCGTCTCGGGCTCACGCCCGCGCCTGGGGCACAAAGGGCTAGCTGCGTAGCCAGCCTCGAACAAACGGGATTCGGCCCAATATCCCCCACCAGAGTGTTCCGCAGGTTGGCCTGGGATTCGTAATCCAGGCTCCGACCAAACTGTTTCAACATGGCCCGAGGGGCGGAACAGCCAACGCCCTCTTGAACCCCCGCTCCCAAATAGTGCTCCGCAGCTTTACCCCAAACCACGTCAGCACAGGTAGCTTGGAGAGCCCGCCACAGGTAGAACCGAAAGGAGGGAGTCTCAACGTAGAGGGAAGTACCGTACTCATCCTGCCATTCACAAGGAGAGGTGCATGGGGACCCACTCAAGGTCAAAAAGGGTGGCGACGGTAGCCATCGCAGGTCCTTTGACCCGCCTCCAACGGCAATTCGCAAGGATGCTCAAAAACAAATCCACCGCCGCCACCCAAACCCTCTGGACCCGCATGCGATCCTTAGGTGGCAAGTCACACCACATATCTGCAAAGCTCAGCAGGTGCTCGTGCCTTAGTCGAAAGATGGGGTCCTCCGCGCTGCTACAAACCAACGCCAAGACCGTGGTGGAACAAGACCCAGGGGTCCACCAACCAGAACACTGGGCCGCCTGGCCCCTCACAGTTTGCAACTGGCGAGGGGACATCCCAACCAGTTGGTGGCCCCAGGTCCCAACCGCCAAAACACCAGGTTTGTACAGCTTGGAGGCCCTCTGATAGATGCGGGAAAGGAAGGGCACCTTACCTGCACGACGCCTCGCTTCAAGCCTCCGCCGCCTCACTTCAGGAATCCTCCGCCGTCTTCCAGCCGTGGTACATGGCCCCAAATCCCTCGTTCCAGCACGATGCCGAACTGGAAGTCCCAAGGCCTGAAGGCTATCAGCAAGGTGAGCGCCTACAGCAGGGGAAGAGCAGACGAGGGCACTCTTGCTACTGAGCGTCAGGCCCAGCTTGTCGACCTCTTGCGCGAACACCGTCGCAGCAGGCAAGACGTGGGCAAGGAGCTCCTGCTCCGTGCCCGCCATATTCTGGGCGATGTCATCAACATAGGCCCGTGACACCACTCGAGACATCTCACCATTCACATGATTATGGGCGGCCTCCAGGGCCTCGTAAACGTAGATTTTGTTGACCCACGGCATGCTCTGGGAACATCCAGGTAAAACTCATCTCCCCGCAGACACCATGCGGGAGACGCTACCTTCAACTTCCAACATGCGGGGGGCCGTATGGATGAGCATCCCAAGATGCAACAAATGGGGTGGGTATTCCATGCGCAGGGCCAATCGGATGAGCAGCCGAGGGCTCACCGTATCAAAAAAAATCGTAAGATCCCAATGGGTCGCAGCCGAGATAGCCTAGCCCCTTCATGTCTGGCACACTCGTGGTACAATTCCCGAACAAGCGCCGCTCGGAGAGCCGACAATCCTTTGACCGCCGTGTCCCAGAACGCCGACTCGATATCCCTCCCCCGAATTTTGGTGTAGAGACGGCACAGGGTGGGACACTTACAGACGGGGCGCTCATCAACCTGAGACTTCGGCAACAACGCAATCAGGCCAAGCAAGATTTGAGCTGGCCACGCCATACTCCGCTCGCACAGGGAGTAAAGAGAGGCCAGCGCGTGAAGGGCCTCGGCAGGGAGCTCTGCCACCGCCCGAGGCCCCCACCCATCAACTCCGACAGCTGTTGCCGCCGAGAAAAAAATGCACGCTTGAATGCACGGGGCGGCGATGGGGGGCAGGCCTTTAACACGCTCAATAGCCGCAGCGCGGAGGTCAGACATGGCATCACCCAGCCTCAAAATCTCCTCCTCCGACGCAGACCAAAATCCACCCCACAAGCGGGCCCTATACTCCATCATTTCTTCCGGTAACTGCTTGACACCGTCAGGGGGGGGGGGGGGGGGGGGAGGGGAGGGGGGGGGGGGGGGGGGGGGTAAAGTATTCAACCACGCTCCGATTATCACGCTTCAACCAGGAGCGCACCCCCTTAGCACCATGTGGGATGGCGCGCAGCAGCCAGGCCTTTAGGCCTTTCGCAGACTCCGCCTTAGCTGCCGTCCACGCACGCTTCAAAACCTCGGATGTGAGGTCAACGAGGCGATCCACCATATCAAGATCCCCTAGCGCAGCAACGGTGACCTGATCGGTCCACCAGGGGGCAGGCTGAGCTGGCGGCAGCACCTCGGAAAACTCCCCGACGCGGCTGACCATGTCCATGATCAGCCCGAAAACGCGGCTCTCGGTGGATCGCCGTCTCAACAACGTGCGAAGCTCAAATAGCTTGGCAGGGAACCGAGACCAAAACGCCAAAGTCGGACAACGAAAAGATGTGCCCATGCCACCTTTCTGCGTGATCGTCGATGCAACCAGTTTCAATGCATCCCCTCTCCCCATGTACGCATGCTCCTCCTCCTCATCGACGGCGGCACAGGCGCGCGAAAGAAACAAACGCTCGGTAGCATGCGACCAGAGGGAATACTGCGCAGAAATCTGATCATCGAGGTGCTCGACTGCATGCGTGATGAGATGGGCCAACTGCACAGGGCACATACACAGCGGCACACGATCAGAGCAAATCTCGTGATGAAGATGACGCCGCCACGGTGAGTCAGGTCCGTGGCAAACTGGAATAACTCGAGGGCGTACTCGCCGACAGAGACGCTGAACCAACACTCTGCGGGCCAACTGGATACGAAGTGCACGATGTGTTTTGGAGGGGGACGGTTCGAACACTCCAACCTGGACGAACGGGGCCAAATCCTCCGAGACCAGCGCATAATCTATCATCGTCCCTAATCCTTGTGAACACGTGAAATCGACTCCCATCGGGGCCAACACCCGAGCGTGAACAGACCTGCGGATATCCCGAGAGCCACATAGTTTCAACCTCAATATTGAAGCCCCCAACCAACATCCAGGGAATCCCGGGAGCACGAATGAACTCGGCGATGCCCCGCATTTTGGACAGGTTCTCCCCCGCGACACCCAGGCACGAGACAAAGTAACACACACCGACCGCAATGGTCGCTCTCTGGGTCTTGAGTTCGAGAAACATCCAACCTGGGCCCGACCCAATGTCGGAAACCACGCCCGCATGGGCAAGAACACGTTTAAAATACAAGCTCTTACTGACGACCATCCCGACCCCGCCGTGAGCCCCCCCTCCCTTAGTAGGCACACCTGCCTGAAGGTGGGGCCTCCAGCCCATGGCTGCAATCTCTCGCTTCGCGGCAGGCAAAGCAGGCTGCTGCAATCGGTGCTCACAAAAAAAAAGGAAAGCATCCACTTCTGGACATATGGCAGACGCAAAATCCTTCGCAACCTTGGACCAGCTCGTGACGTTACAAAACACCAAATTCAGGCCACCGCCTGCTGCGAGCGAATCCTTGGCATCGCGACGGCCTGCTTGAGCAGCTCAGTGAACGGGTTGTGGATCTGCTCTTTTGTGTCCGCAGGCGCTTGGAGGTACGAGCTCGAACCCAATCACGGATGAGGCTCTCCAGACGTTCCTGCTCCTCAGGGGTGAGCACCTGCTCCTGGCCACGCTTGCGCAGTCCGCGCAACTCTTCATCGTCAGCTCCGACTGCATCGCCAAAACTGGCGTCACCGCCAGCATCACTAGCAGCATCGCCATCAGCACGTTGAATGGTGGTCCGCATGGCCACGAACGCCTCCCAGAGGCCCTTCGGCAACCGCTGCTGGTTGGCCCACCCGTTCTGTTCGGCTGCCGACAACCGCGAGAAATCTGGAATATCCACCTGCATGGGCTCCTGCACTGGAGCGTCCACGCCTCCCTCGCCGTCAGCAGGCGCATCAGCAGGAGCAGGGCCGCCACCGCCAGCACCTCCAGCAGCCGCGCCGCCACGCGCCGCGCCGCCACGCGCCGCGCCGCGCCAGGGCGGGCCCGCCCGCGGCGCAGCAGGGCCCCCCAGCGGGGGGCGCAGCCCGCTGGGCCTGGCGCGCCGCCCCAGCGCGCGCCTCAGTAGCCTTCGCCGCCTTCCAGGCCTCGGGGTCGAAGGCCTGCAGCTCGGCGTCGGCATCGCGACGGGCCTTCTGGGCAGCACCAGGATCCTCCTCCGCAGCGTGCAAGCCATTCGTCGCCTCGTCGAGTTGCTCCCGTACACGTTGAGCTTTGCTTCTCTTCTGTTCCACTTCCTGGCGCGCGAGCCGAACCTGCCGAGCAGCGTCCTCGACCACACGGGCCAAGCGGGTCCGCTCGGTGTTCGCCGCGGTGTCGAGCTGGGCAGGCGCGAGGACAGCCGCAGGAGGCGCAGGCTCCTCCGCCAAGTCGTCCAGGGACTCGCGGAGGTCAGGCCGCGCCGCCAGGAGAGTGGCGGCGGCGGCGCGCAGCTGCGCATCGGGCTGCCCAGCACCAGCAGCACCTGCAGGGGCGCCTTCATGGCCTCCCCCTCCACCGACTTTGGACTCGAGGTAGGAGTCACCACACTTGGAGTAAACCTCGTGACCGCGGCTCGCCCACTCCCAGTGACTGCAGGAAGCACACACATTGTATCTCCGCTGGCGCAGGCGGCGCCACGGAACACGCTTGCCATCCCGTGAACCTTCCGGCTGAAACACCCAGCTCCCTGCCTGGCCACGGTAGCTGTCAGCCCGCAGACCAGCACCACCACGACGCCATGGGGGCTCAGGCGCCATGGCCACGGGCGACTCCGATATGTAAGAATGATGCCAAAAGGGGGCCTTCGCTCCGCTCGAAGAAGGCAGGCTACGGAAGCCCCAAAGCTAATCGCTGGTTCTCAGGCGTCCATAGCCCTTCACAACGTTTAGCCTTGAGCCAAAAATGGCTACGGGAGTAGGGGGAGGGAGAGGAGGGGGAGGAGGAGGAGGTGGAGGAGGAGGAGGAGGAGGAGGAGGAGGGGGAGGAGGGAGGAGGGAAAGGAGGAGGAGGAGTGGAGGAGGAGGACAGGAGGAATAGGAGGAGGAGGAGGGAGGAGGATGATGGGAGGAGGAGGGAGGAGGATGAGAAGGAAGGAGGAGGAGGAGGAGGAGGAGGAGGAGGAGGAGGAGGAGGAGGAGGAGCAGCAGGAGGCGGGCGGAGGCCCGGCTGGGCAGGAGCGGGCCGCTCGCTGTGCCTGGGCGGCAGGGGCAGCTGTGCGCCGAGCGGGCCACCAGCCGGAGCCGAGCAGGGACCGGGACCGGCCGCCCAAGGCATCCCGCGAGGCCCACCACGGCATGTTTTGTGGAACAATTAAGGGGCCCAAGGACACACAAACAACCGCACACACACCAAAAAAATATTCCCCATCTGGATTTTTGTCTTCCCCCCCACTTCCCATATTTTCCCATCTTTTCTGGGGAATCGACGATTCATTGTGTCTGTGTTTTTTCCCTCCTGAAACAATGTCCTCAGCACAAAAGCCCGATGTGTCAAGGCACTGACCGACAGAAAAGCACCCGGAGACAAGACGTGGCCCAGCTGGGCACGGCCACGGAATTCATGAGCAAAGCCGATGTGCGGACGGCGTCTCCTTGCCAGGACGGCCCACACCACCTCGGCCCGACCAGCCCACCGCCACGAGCATCGCAGGGCGCTCTGGAGCAGGCCAGCCCGCCAACCCGTCTCTGCAGCGGTCAGTCCTCGCTGCAGGAGGCGCTTCCGCCGCCGATGCCCACACAGATCCGCTTACTCTGTCGACCTGGCGCTGTCACGCTGCGGAAGGAACAACGCCTCGAGTTCGCACGCTGGTAAGGGAGAGGAGTCCTCCTCTCACCGATGCGATTGGCGCCTCGACCGCATGCACTGAACCAGTGCATCATGCGAGTGGCCACGCTGCGAAGCGCCCAACACAAGGGGCACATATCCTTGGACTCGAGCAACGGGGGCAGCCTGGGACAGCCACACCAAGCAGATTTCCCGCAACCGAGCACAGCAGGAGCAGCGGGGAGCACCGGAACCAAACAGGCCGAGCGACAGCCAGTAGCAGCACCCTCACAACGTCTGCGAACAGCTCAGTGCGAGCCTTTCCTGCGCAGTCTGCACAGCGAGCGGGCTCCCAGCAGCCGGGTGCGACAAGACCAGCTGGGAGCAGCTGGGCCGGCGGCCAGGTGCGCAGCAGCGTCGGCGGTCAGACACGGTCGCCCGTGACGCAACACCCCAAGTGGTGGGAGGGGGACACATCATGCAAAGGTGGCCCAGACAGCAAGCAACAGCACGAGGTCGTTGGACCCTCCATCCTTGTACGTGCTGCTGGGAGTTTTCACCTTCGGGAGAACGAACCGTAGGGCAGCCTGAAACGAACAGGTTGGACAAGTCTACGCCTACGGACACGCCTGGTAGTGCGACAGGAAGGAGTTATGTATGTGGGCGAGAGAGGCGGATGAGGACGAGAAGCGGGGAATGGGGAGGAGGAGGATGAGGAGGAGGCTAGGAAGAGGACAATGAGGAGGAGGAGGAGGAGGAGGAGGAGGAGGAGGAGGGAGGAGGAGGAGGAGGACGACGACGAGAATACTGAGGATGAGGAGGAGGAGGAGTCCCCTGCTGCCTCCCCTCTCTGCTCCTCCTCAGTTTCCCTCGTCGCCATCGGCGGTCGCACCAGGGCGCGCCGTTCGGCGATTTTGCGCACGCAATGGCGGCTGTGCCGCTGGCCGCCACCGCCCTGGGCCTGGCGCGGCAAACAGCCCCAGCCCCATACCCCTTGGCAGAGCAAGGGTAAAGGGCCCCCCAAAAACACACACACACACATACACACACACGCACACACACACACATACACGCACGCGCACACACGAGCACACACACACACACGCACACACACACACGCACACACACATACACACACACACACTCGACACACGGCACGCACGCACGCACTACGCACGCACACGAACAAACGCAAACACGTACACGACACGCACAAAGCGCACGCACGCACACGCGCACACGCACGCGCACGCGCACGCGCACGCGCACGCACACGCAAGCACGCAAACGCACACGCACACGCACGCGCACGCGCGCGCACACGCACACGCACACGCACACGCACACACGCGCACACGCGCACACGAGCACGCGCACACGCGCACACGCGCACACGCGCACACGCGCACACGCGCACACGCGCACACGCGCACACGCGCACACGCGCACACGCGCCCACGCGCCCACGCGCCCACGCGCACGCGCACGCGCACACACACACACACACACACACACACACACACACACACACACACACACACACACACACACACACACACACACACACACGGCGCTGGCCGCACACCAGCACACCCGCACACCTGCACACCCGCACACCCGCACACCCGCACACCCGCACACCCGCACGCGCGCACGCACGCACGCACGCACGCACGCGCACACACGCACGCGCGCACACGCGCACACGCGCACACGCGTACACGCGCACACGCGCACACGCGAACGCGCGCACGCGAATGCAAACGCGCACCCGCACACCCGCACACCCGCACACCCGCACACCCGCACACACGCACACCCGCACACGGGCACACCCGCACACGCACGCACGGAGGCACGCACGCACGCACGCACGCGCGCACGCACGCACGCACGCACGCCACCACACACACCACACACACACACACACACACCACACACACACACAACACAACCACACCACACACACAACCACCCACACACACGCCCACGCACGCGCACGCGCACGCGCACGCGCACGCGCACGCGCACGCCCGCACACGCACACGCACACGCACACGCCACACGCCACACGCACACGCACACGCACACGCACACGCACACGCAAACAAACCACACCCACACACACACACACACACACACACACACACACACACGCACACGCACACGCACACGCACACGCACACACACATACACACAAAAGCACACACACACACACGCGCACGCACGCACGCACGCACACGCACACACACACACAAAACAAAAATACACACACAAATCACAAAATCACCCGCAATCCTCTACCATCCAGTGCTGTTGGGTCCTCGTTTTTGAGAGACCCTCCTGCTGCCCCTTCCCTCCTCCCTCCTCCGTATTTCGTGGCCTCATATGGAGCTCCACCGAAGGCCCCAAGGGCGTGTACCGCATGCGGTTCTCTCGCCCAGTACAACGCTTCGTGGCTCCATAGGGAACCCCATCGAAGGCCCCAAGGGCGTGTACCGCATGCGGTTTCCCCACCCAGTACATCGCTTCGTGGCCCTGGAGGGAGCTCCACCGAAGGTCCCCGTGGCGCAGTCCGCATGCGGTTCCCCCACCCAGTACAACGCTTCGTGGCCCCAGAGAGAGCCCCACCGAATGTCCCAGTAGCGCAGTCCGCATGCGGTTCCACCACC